CCCCACCAGTCCACACACACTGCCCACCTTGTTGCGCTGCTGCGAGTCCTTGCCAGCGTGGTACGCGGCGCACTCCACCTCTGCCTCCCCCAGCGCCGCCGCCAGCCAGTCGCAGGTGGCCCTCAGCCGCGCGTACACGATGCCGCACTGGCCGCGCCGCTCCCGCAGGAAGGCCAGAAGGTCCTGCTCACGGGGCAGGGCGAGGAGGAGGGCGCCCCGGTGCCAGGCTGAGTGGCGCGTCCCGCGTGCGGCGTGAGCTCACACACCAAAGGCGGCGCCGCCCCCGGCAGCAGCTGACGCTGCTCAGGCCAGGGAGGGGCCGGCAGGGCAGCAGCTGAGCTGACAGCTCCCACACAGGTCTGAGCTGTGCGCCTGCCTTGCAAAACAGGGCTGCCGCGCCGCACCTGCAGCGCCGCCTCGCGGCTGCCGTCCCCCACCAGCTCCTTGTGCCGGACCTCGTAGCACAGGTTGGGCCTGCCCCGGGGGGGGCAGGGGAGGGGCAGCGCTCGCAAGGCAGAGCACCAGACAGCGTCGGCAGCGCCACAGGAGCTCCAGTGTGTTCAATCAGTACACAGCTGGAGGCGGGCTGGTGGCCCAGGCCCTCCCGCCTGCCCCGCCTCACCTGTTGAATGATCCCTGCAGCAGCAGCGGGGCGCGCAGGCCCAGAGCGCCGGCGATGGAGCGGCGCACGGCGGCGGTGGCGGTGGCGGTGGCGGCGATGAGCGGTACGCCCGGGAAGTCGCCCCGCAGCTGGCCCAGGGTGAGGTAGGAGGGGCGGAAGTCGTGGCCCCACTCGCTCACGGCGTGGGCCTGCGCGTGGGTGGCACCATTACAGGCCAGCGAGTGTGACGGGGAGGGTGGTGGCGTGCGGGACGGGCAGGGCGCGGGGCGGTGGGGAGGGCAGCGGGCACCTGGGCGCCGCGCCGGCACCCGCTGACCCCTTCCCATCCCCATCCCTTGTCCCATCAGATCAGCGCTCCGCCAGCCCACCGCCTCCGCTCCCCACCCTAATAAGCGCCTCCCCGCCTGCCTGCTGCTGCCCACCTCATCGATCGCAAAGGAGCAGAGCCTGCCGCAGCTGTGGGCCGCCTTCAACACCTCCCTGCGACCACAGCCAGAGCCAGGCACGGGCCTCGGGATGCTGCCGGACAGGCCTGGTCCCGGAAGGCGAGCCAGGCGTGGGGCGCAGGGCCCGCCGCATGGCCGGCTCCCAAGGCGGTCTCTGCTGCAGGCCGGCGGGCTGGCCGGCGGCGGCGGCGAGCGCAGCGGCGGCGCCAGCACCCACCTGAGCCGCTCCATTTGCAGACTCTCGGGTGTGGTGTAGCTGCGGCGGGTGGGGCAGGGCAGCGCAGGCCGGGGCCAGGCGTTGGAGAGTGGGGCTCCGAGCCAGGCGCCCCGCGGGCACGGCGCGACTCCCAGCAGAGGCAGCGGGGCGCGACTCCCAGCAGACGCAGCCAGCCAGCTGCTGCCGCCCGCGAGGCACGGGCCCAGCCAGGCAGGTGCAGAGGGCATGAGTGGCCTGACATGCGGCGCGCTCACAGCAGTATGTCCAACTGTCCCGCCCGAAGAAAGGAGCAGCCGGGTAGGGTATGATGCGGGAGGGACTTACAGCAGGCTCAGTGAGCCATCCTCCAGGTCAGCCAGCAGCTCCCGCTCCAGCCTCGCCTTCACATGTTCGGGCGTCTCGCTGCTCCACGCCGCCGCCTCTATGCCGCGCTCCACGCAGCCGTTGACCTGCGGCACGGGTGTGTGCGGGGAGCAGGGCGCGGTGGCGGGGCGGGCCGAGGCAGGCGGGTGCAAGCAGCTCCGGTCAACGGCCAGCCAACATCCAGTCGACCCAAGGGCGCTCAGAAGGATGGCAGCTTGTCGGCTGCCGGCGGCCAGGCTGGGAGGGCAGGCAGGCACTGCACAGGCAGGCCACCACCCGCAATCCTTGCCTGGTCCCGTGCGAGCGCCAGCAGGGGGGTCACCACGACGGTGAACTGGTTGCGGTACAGCGGCGCCAGCTGGAAAGCCAGAGACTTGCCGCCGCCTGCAGGGGGCCAAGAGCCGCCGCGAGGGTGGGTGGCTCCCTCCTTCCGTCCCGGCAACAGCGGCGGCCGCCAGGCCACCGCCGCACAAAAAGGGCGAGCACCCAGCTGGACGTTTGACCGGGGCGGGCCGCAGCCTGTGCTTCACCGGTGGGCAGGATCAGCAGCACGTCCTTGCCGCCCAGCGTGGCGGCCACGGCCTCTGCCTGTAGCGGCCTGAACTCGGCGTGGCCCCAGTGCTGCATCATCACGCGGGCAAGGCCGGCACGCAGAGTGGCATCCACGGCGGGCGGAGCCGGCGCCGGCGGCACGGCGCCCTGCTGCTGCTGCTGCCTGCTGGGGAGCCCCGGCTGCGGCGACATAGGGATGGCCGCGGCGCGGGAAAAGGGCCTGGCGAAAGCCGGGCGGGAAGTTGCAACCCTGAGGGTGTCGGCGGGCTGGCCCCAGGAGCGTAAATTGAAAATTGGGATTGGTTTAAATCGTTGAGCATTGAAAGAGCCGCGTTAAGGAAGCCTAAGCTCGCATTTTAGCCTGCGCCGCTGCGTGTGCTGTGCGCGGGAGTGGCGGCGGAGGGCGGAGTGCTGCAGAAGCCTCCGGCGCTGCCTGGCGCACCGTTCTGTCGCTGATCTAGGGAGATTAACAAGTTGCAAACACATCTCTTGGGCGGCTTCTGAATCGGGCCCTTTGCCTTGCACACGGCGGAAGCTGCCGCCGTGCGACAGACAATAATATGAGTGATTTGGGTGCAAGCCCACGATTGCGTGGGATCGGATTCTGACCACCCTCTGACACTATCCTGGACCCTCCATAAACTCCCCTGCTGCTGCGAAGCAGGTCTGTGCTTGGCGGCGGCGGCGCTGCCGCCACCGGCGGGGCCCCACCACTGCCCCTGGATTGCGATTGTGAGCGCTGCATTGTTCAGCTGGTACCGGGGTAGGCCACAGAGGGCAAATCGAGCAATTTTGAACGACCGCTCGAAGATTCACTCCCGAGACGATCGTACCAGCCCGCCCAAAACAGGTCCATCAGCCTCCTGCGCCGGCCTCTCGGCACTCTAAGTCGCTCTGCCCACCCCATCACTGCCCAAGCTCTGCCGCTCGCACTTTGGCTCCTTCGCGCCCAGCGCAAAATATCTGCCTTGTCTATCTTTGGGAAGAGGTCCTCCATTTCGCTCCGCACCCTCACACAAACACTCCAGACGTTGATGCTCGCCATGTGGGGGCCCACGGGGCAGCAGCAGCAGGCAGCGGGGCAGGGGAAGGCATCTGCTCTGGGCCGTGTGGAGTCGCGGACCTCCGTGCTCGAGCTGTGGGGCTCAGACTGCTCCGACAGCGAGGTGGGTGGCCAGGGGGGCGGCACAACCGCCGATTCCCACTTTGCTGGATGGCATCACCCGTTGCATCCGCCCTCCCCGCTGAGCCGCCCCTTTTACCCGCCCTGCAGGCCAGCAGCCCCGATCGGTCGTCACACGGCAGCCCCGGCGGGCTGCCGCTGCTGGACGCGGTGATGGGCTCAGTGTGCGCCGCCGCCATGGGCGGCCAGGCGCTGCCGCCGCGCACCCTGCACCTGCTGCAGCAGCTGTTCCCCAGCGCCAGCGCCATCAGCGCCACCGTGCCTTCCGCCGATGGCCTGGGCATGGCGGTCGTCACGCTGATGCAGCCGCCAGCGCCTCCGCAGCCGCGCCGCGGCCGCGGCGGCATCCCCGCCGTGCCGCACCACCACCCGACCGCGCAGCAGCAGCTGGCGCAGCCCCTGGCAGCCGGCGGCGTGCTGTCCTTCGGCCTGTCGACCCAGCCGCCCGCGGCAGAGCTGCAGCTGATGCAGGCATTTGCCGACGAGCTGAGCAGCCGGCTGGATGGCGGCGCCCGCAAGAAGGTGCGCTCCCGCCGGCACGGAAGGCCCCCCTTTGCTCCCTTGCGCCGAGCTCCCCGCCCGCCGCCCTGCTGCCTAGCATCGGACCCATGCCTGGGGTTGCCCGCCAGGCGATCCTTGCCCTGCCGCAGCCGAAGCATTGCCAGCAGCCGCATCCCCTCTGGCTTCGCGCTGCCCGCTCATCCCTCCTTGCCGCCCACGCTGCGCGCAGGCTGCCCCCGCGCCGACCCCGCTGCTGGCCGGAGGGCCCGCCCCCGGCGCACTCATGCCGCTTGACTGCTTCTGGATGTCATGCTGAGCGGCATGCCATACCTGGGGCCCTCTGGCCCTCTGCTCCTGGCCCCACACCCCTACCCGCGAGCGCCCGCAGTGAGGTTGCGGGCCCGCTCCGGAGACGTGACTTGCCCATAGCACTCGCATGTTTTAAGTGCATGTTGCCCCCCCCACATTCTTGCCCTCGCCACGATGCTGCGAGGGCCGCCCACGCCAGCCAACAATTGAAGCTCTGCCCAACGAACGACGCTCCCCCTTGCCTGCTCCCTGCCCTTCCTTCCCGCCTTGGCGCCCCCCAAGCTTATCTTATGAGCCTACGAGTCTCACACTGCAGTTCCAATCCATTCAATCAATCCCCACCCCAACTTATGCCCCCTGCTGCGCACACTGGCGCCATTCCTGAGCCGGGGCGCTGGCAGCAGGCCGCCGCTTGGGAGGCGCCTCGCCGCACGCCCAACGCCCGCCGCACACCCCAGCACACGTTTTCCCGCCCTCTCTCTCCTCCCTGTTACTCGAGTCTCTTGAACAAAAGCTTAAGTGAAGCTCTTGCCTCTGCCATGAACACGCGAGTTTTCCTCTGCCATTCAACGTGTCCCTCTGCCTTCTCAACCGAGCGCCCAGCTGGCGCGCCGCGGCGCCGCCGGACGCGCCAACGCCCCTCCCAGCCCTCCCCCGTCATTCCCCGGACCCACGGTGGGCTTGCATTCACCCTGTAACCCCCCCAAGCTGCTTAAACCTGCGAAACCAAAGGTTCTGGCCGAGATACAGTGCAGGAGCATATCTCGGCCACGTTATGCGGTCTGCTGACTCTGCCCATTCGGCCATCGGCCCGCATTCCCACATTCAATCGCCCACCCAATCCAGGCAAGGGAGCTTGCCACCCATCGCCCCAGCCCTCCAGTCCCTGTTTCGTGGAGGCCTCCACACTTTGCAAGCCATGCGGCCAGCGGCTCGCTTCAGCAGCAGGGCCGGCGCGTACGGGGTGGAGAAACCCCTGCGTGCCGCCCAGGCATGCACAAAGGCGGCAGAGGCGACCAAGCTGAGGCCCGCCCACGCCGCCCAGCTCGATGGCGACAATCTCTGCGCCTCGCTCAGCAGCGTGCTGTCACCTTGCTGCCAGACCCCCACAGCCACGGTAGGGGGCGGGTGCCGCCCGCCTCGGGCCCGGGTGGGGCGTCCTGAGAGGGATGCATGGTGGTGGTAGCTAGCGACGCAATCGGTGGTAGTTGTCTGGCCACAATTCAAGTTCTGAGGCTCCCCGAAGGCCTGCCATGCCCTGGGCGAGCTCCATGGCTGTTGTGAGCTCGCTCCACCGGCCCCCACCCGCGCTGCTGCCCCCCTTGCAGGCTTCCCGCCCAGCGCCGCCGCCCGCCGCCGAGCTGGCGCCTGAGGCCCGCGAGCAGCTGCACGCGCTCCTGGATGCCGGCCGCCTGCTGGGGCGCCTGCTGGACGGCCTGGCCCGCGCGCTGGCGGGCCGGCAGGCCCTGCCCAGCCACGTCGAGGCCCTGCTGGCCCGCCTCTTCCCCTCGGCACGCACCATCAGCGTCACGCTGCCGTCGGCAGGTGCGCGGCAGCCGGGCCGCCAGCCGCGCGGGCGCTGCGGGCCACGCCAGCTGGCGCGGGCGTCGCGCCGGGCGCTGCCAGCACGCCGCAGGGCAGCGGCCTGCCTGCTCACCCGCCTGCCTGCTCACACGCCCGCCTGCTCGCCTGCCTGCCTTGCCTCCCCGCCTGCCTGCCGCAGACGGCCAGGGCCTGGCTGTGACCACCCTGCTGCACGCCTGCCAGCCGGCGGCCCAGAGCGGCGGCGCCGCGCACCACAGCGAGCCCCTGGGGCGCGGCGTCTGCTCCTTCCACCTCTCGGTGCCACCCAGCGGTGCCTCACTGCGCCTCATGCGCGCGTTAATGCACCAGCTGGCGGCGCGGCTGCGGCTGGAGGCGGCAGAGGGCGCCGCCGCCGCCACGGCCGCGACCCCGGCCTGCAGGGTGAGCGCGAGCGCAGAGGCTCCGGGGGCCGCGCAGCCACTGCACGTGTGTAGTTACAGCCCGCCGCGGGCCGCCCTGACTGCCCCGCCTGGCGCACACCTGGCGCGCCGAGCCAGCCCCGCCCGGCCCCGGCACTCACTCGCCGCCTCTCGCCGCCGCCGCCCGCCTCCCGCTGTGCAGCCGCCCATGGCGCGCGGCGCGGCCGCGGCGCCGCGCCCGGCCTACGCCGCCCCCGCCCCGTCTGGCGCCCTCGGCCACTCAATGCCGGCAGACTGCTTCTGGATGTCGATGTGAGCATGCGCGGCGGCAGGCTGGAGCATGGAGGTTTGTTGCCAGAAGCCAGAAGCCAGAGCCGCGGCTGTGACGCCGTGCCCTGCGCTCCTCTGCAGCACGCCTCCTTCCCTCCCGTCCCATCCCAACATTGCCCCTCAATTTCCGACCCCCCGAAACCCCTTCCCTGAGCCTTCCCCAGGCACACGGCGCCCTGCGGGCCCTCCTCTCTTTTGTCTGCTCCTTTCTTCTGCCTGCTCCTGTCCGAAACCGCCCTTTGGCGCCCGGCAGCCAGGACCTGCCCGCCGTCGCCCTCTCCCCTGTCCTGCGGCCCTTTCAGCCGCAGCAGCCGAGCCTCGCATCCAGCGCATGCATCCAGCCTCCTTTCCCTTTCCCCCTTTTTTCCTCCCGCCCGGCCCGATCCACCTGCCGAGCGGCGGCACGGCTGGCATGCACCCGACCCGATATAGGATGCCCCGTTGCCTGTACATTACCTGCTTTCGGCACTGTACTGCTGTATTGCCCCCTCCCCCTGCAGCTGCCACCCCCTCCAGCGCACGCCGGCAAGTAGCGGGCCGCAGCGCCCCTTGTCCCACCACCACCGACCCTTCATCAGGAATGCACTCCTCATCTGCCGCCGTTTGCGCGGCACCCGGGCGTCCCGCCCACCCCAAACCCCTCTCCCTTTTGATGCCTGGACCTTTCATGCTTTCCACCCGGGCAGCCTGTTTTTTCCTCCCCTGAACCCCTCCGTCTTTCATGCCGCAATCACCGAACGCACTGCCACACTTTGTGCTGCGTGTTGTTTGCTTCGCGCCTGTGTCGTGCCGTGCATGTGCTGTGTTCTCAAGCTGCCCTTTTATTTCTCTCCGCCCTGCCCTGCCCGCCAGCGCCTGCCGCCACCACCCGTCCTGGCCCCTCCCCTCCTGCCCCTGCCGCTTGTCCCCCATTTACGTCCCCTTACTGACGAATCCTCTTTCTGACTGCCTTCTTTTCTTGTTGTTTGCTTGCTCCCTTATGGTCCCATGAGGCAGGCCACCGCCCCGTGGCCGGCAGTTTTTGTTGCGGGCATCCTGTTTTTCCCGCCCAGCGATGTAACCCGCAACCGCCTCGCTGGGCCGGCCGCACCACAGAAGGCTGCGCCCCCGCGCCAGCTGGCACTTGCCGCTGCTGCGCAGCAGCATGCCCTCAGTATGGGCCAGGGTCATATCGGCCGTGTGGCATGAAGTTGCAAGCACAGCCCTTTCTCTTCCTCTCCTGGCCGCCACACGCAGCGCAGGCGTGGAAGGGAGGTGGGGATTTACAGCGGGGCAGGGCCGCCCTGAATGGCAGGGCGGATGCATGCAGATGGACGGATTTGTGCTGATGGGGGCAGAGACAGTCACGGATCGGAGGGGGGATCAGAACAGCAGATGTGCAGGGGCATGGGGAGTAAGGGGGAAGGGCCTCGTGGCAGGAAAAGGGGGTGGAGGGCTCCAGATCAAACCTGGCAGGTGCCCCCTCGGAAACAACAGAGTCACTCCCAGATTTGAGAATCAAAAGTGGAGGCCGGCGTGGAGAGGCAGCACGGAACGGCGGCAGGGAGGCCCGGCGGGGCTGTCCAAAACCGCGCTGGGTGGCAGCCAAAAGCCAAACAGGCACGCGCGGTGCGGAGGCCTCAGGCCTAGGCGGCGGCACGCGGCGCCCACCCCGGCCGCGGTGTCGCCCGCAGCGCAGCGGCCGCCGCTGGCAGCCGCGCTGCGCAGCTGCTCAGTAGCCGCCGCTCGGCGGCTTGTCATCCATCATATCAT